CCTTCATTCGTGTTCCGATCCGGCTAGTCCAGCCGACTGTCGCCGCTGCCTCGCCATCCAAACGCCACAGCGACCACCGAAGCCACCGCCGTAACCGTGATGTCGGTAAGGACGTTGCTGCCGTATCACCCTTCGCCGACGACGACAAGGCCGCTGCCTCCTGCCTCGTCGTATTCACTTCTTCCTCACCCTTCTTCTATTCGTGGACATTGCTTCGTAACCGGTGGGGTTTGCCCACCCTCGCCGCCGCTGTTGGAAGCCGTATGACCATCGAAGATCGGCGCCACCGTCTCACGTTCTCGTTGTCGCTGTTATTTTGCTACGCCAAACGCCACAGCCCCTGCTTGTGATGTTGTGGGTTCCATCAGTCGAGAATAGGGGATGGTTTTAGGCCGCCATCGATGTCAAAGTTGCTGCTGTTGCCGCCGCTGCCCACCTCAGGTGGGTTTTGGGTTCATTTTACGAGCTGGGGCTGCAGCCATGCACCACCACCGGCCGCCACTAGGTTGCTATGAATGTGTGTTGGTATTAGTGTGTGTGTGTGATTATTTAGGGTTTAAGCATTGTAAAATGTATCTAAAAGAAGAGTAATGAAAAGAAACCCTAACCACCACCGTATGGTGGTGGCTGCCGCCTCCTGCCTCCACCGGCCGCCGTGTCGGGTGGCGGTGTGCTTGCCTTGTGAGTTTGATTCGTTTGGGGTGCTTGAAACCCTAATGGGCCCAATGAAGCCTAATGGGCTTAGTGAAACCCTAATGGGCCCAATGAAGCCCTAATTGACATTAAAGCCCAAACATGTATCTAATGGGCTTAATGGACCCTAATGGATCTAAGGACTTAGCTAATGGGCCTATTGGGCTAAGATGGGATTGGAAACCCTGATTAGGGTTTAGAAAACCCTAATATTGGATTTATGGGCTTGGACTTATCGGGACCCACATTTGGGCCATTGGAATGGAAGTGTGTATTAAGCCCAATCACACCATATGAGTTATATAGAAGAGTGATGGACTTAATGGATTAAGTCCTTAATGGGTTAAGTGAGAAACACTTAACCCTAATCATCATTTTATGTGAAACCCTAATTTCACTTGGGTTTATTGTTGGGCCTTTCTATTGGGCCTTGATGATTGAGTTATTAATGGGCCATCCAAGATCAAGCAAATGGACTAGAATAATTAATGGGCTTTGAGGTAAGGCCATATGAGGAGTTGGGCCCAATTTGGAAAATTGGGCCATAGTTTGAGCCTTTATGATTATGTGATATTGGGCCATTAGAATGTTGAATGTTGGACTGGACCAAATGCTTGGGCCTTATGGTAAGACCTTATAAAGGTTTGGGCCCAATTTGGAAAATTGGGCCATGTGTTGGGCTTTGACGCATAGTTGAATTTTGGGCCTTTGGTTTGGGCCTTGGGCTTGGATCAATCCAAGTTCGGGGTAGAGTAGCCTTTTACCCCCAAGCATGGACTTATCGTTATGTATTGGAACCCAATTATTAATTGGGTGTTATTTTGGTGTTGACAGTTTGGGAATCTGTCATCCAGCAGCTGGGGTTGAGTCTGCGAGACTTCAACAGTGTGGGCTTTAGTCTACGGGACTTCAACAGTGTGAGGTGAGTTACCTTCCAGTAGCGGTGGGTCTACGGCCACAATGTCGGCCCACTAGTAGGAGTTGTATGTTAGATGATTGTCTTTGTGATATTCATCTAGGTTTTCTGCTACCTGTTTTGTTTTATGTGCTAGCATGTTATGATGTTATGTGATAGTGGTAGTAGGGGTGAAATAGTCCCCGGTTACCGGTCAATAGGACCGAAGGGGTAGTTTAGTACCCAGCCATGCGAGCCAGATTATGATATATGTGATATGATATTATGTGGTAGTAGTAGGGGGTGAAATAGTCCCCGGTTACCGGTCGACAGGACCGAAGGGGTAGGCCAGCACCCAGATATGCTAGGCAGTATGTGATGTATATTTATATGCTAGGGTTTTATGTGGTAGTGGTAGGGTTGAAATAGTTACCGGTTGAAAGAAACCGAAGGGGAGGCCAGCTCCCGGTTACCGGTTGAAAGATACCGAAGGGGTAGGCCAGCACCCAGATATGCTAGGCAGTCACCGGTCGAGAGGACCGAATGGGTAGGCCAGCACCCAAATATGCTAGGCAAGGTCACCGGTCGAAAGGGCCGAAGGGGTAGGTCGGGCACCCAGATATGTCTGGCAGTATGTATGTTATATGATTGTATGGTATGTGGTATGATGGGGGAACTCACTAAGCTTCGTGCTTACGGTTTATAGTTTTGGTTTCAGGTACTCGTTTTCAAAGGAAAGGAGCCGGCTTGATCGCAGCGCATCACACTATGTTTTCCGCACATGAGATCTTTGGGATTACACTCTGATATGGTTTTCTGATAATATGTTTTGATTATTGACACTTTGGTTTTGACATGAGATATTAATATGAATGTTTTTGTACTGATGGTTTTATATAATAACTTAATTAAAAAGAAATTTTTGGTCTTGAAATTTGGGATGTTACACCATGTCCTTAACCCACTCTTTTATTATAATTTCTTTTTCAAAAACTCTCGGATCCTAGTTTGAGACTTGATTCACACAAGTGTTCCTCCAATTCGCTCAAACCAGAGCTCTGATACCAACTTGTAACGTCCCATTTTCACAACCAAAATTTTTCATTATTATTAAGGTAAAACTTCTCAATTTATAAATTCACTATTAAGAAAACCATTTATTCCAAATTACATTTATTAAAAATCAGAGTATCATAGAAAATGCGAAATCCTCAATGCTGCTGCTGAGTGTGTACAATCCCATCGTCGCCTTCCCATAGACACCGATGATACCTGAAACAATAAACAACTGGATAAGCATAAAGCTTAGTGAGTTTCCCCCAAAATACCACCATACAAACGGATAACATATACAATCAAACATGTCGGGTCCAGTCAACCATCGTGTTGGAATACCCCACGCCTAGTCAGCCTCCGGGTCCAGTCATCCTCAGGATGGAATACCCCAGGTTGGAATACCAATATACAACGGGTCCAATCAACCATCAGGCTGGAATACCTAGGGTTTGTTGGCCAACCGCCTCAACCCTAACGCTCTTCCCGAGCCTCCGTGCCTACGGCCTACAGTCGACCCGCACCGGGGTATCTTGGCCAACAACATAAAGCAGGACCGCCTCAACCCAAACCAAACACAACATGTCGACATATAGCAATCAGGATCAAGTAGGCACACAATACAAGCAAACAAAAATCATACAACTCACTACCATATACTAGTCCTCTCACAACATACAGTCCCGCTACCAGCTAACCTCCATGGAATGCGTAACCATAAGTAACCAGAGGTGAGATAGCCACTCGAACATATGATCCTACTCTAGAGAAACAACAAAACAAGGAACAGGAAAGAGAGTCTAGACCAAGAGTTCTCAGGCTATCCTACATGACCACAGACAATCCTTAAGGGCACTCCATAGATGACAACCAGCAAGCACAAATAACATACAGTTCCATAGATTATTATAGCAAAGCGACATACTCAATACCAGGAGACAGATCTAACAGTTCACTACAGCATAGCAAAATACTCGATACCAAAACACAGATCTAACAGATCACTACAGCATAGCAGCATACTCAATCCATGAACACAAATCTAACAGATCACTACAATATAGCAGCATTCTAAATATCAACAATCCAAGGATTGCATGGCTGTATATACTCTGAGGTGAGATAGTCACCCGGACAAGTGATCCTACTCTAGAACCACAACCAAACAAGGAACAGGTAAGAGATCTTATATCAAGAGTCCTCAGTCTATCCTACATGACTATATACAGTCCCTAAGGTATCCCTATACTAACAGATAACTAAAACTAGTGGGCCGGCATTGGTGTCTTCGACCCACGGGTACAGTGAGGCGAAACTCACCTCGATATGCGTGTAGGTAACCATTGTAGCAATGAAGAACTCTACCAGCTTCAACTCACTTCCAGTCACCTACATGAAGATATTCGAGTCAATACCCGATCACAGGTTATAGTCACTTGCAACAGTGACTACCTCACATGAAATGACGATTAGGGTTATATAAGAACACTTAACCCATTAAGTACTTAATCACCTAAGGGTAGGACTGATTAAGGTTTGACTTAGTTATTCTCGGGTGTAATAATAATCCAAACAATAGCCTAATTACGTGCCCGATCATTGTCCAAAATAGAGCTTCCCGATTCTAGGGTTTCCACATAAAATGATAACTAGGGTTAGTGTTCCACACTTAACCCCTTAAGGACTTAATTCATTAAGTCTAATATTGCATTAAGTTAATTGTAGGGCATTATTAAGTATTATTTAAAGTTTAATTAACAGTTTCAACTTGGGTCCTGACAAATTCCAAAACTAGGGTTTTCTTGACATTAGGGTTTTCTAAACCCTAATTAGGGTTTCCAACCCCATACGCGAGCCACACGGACTAAAGTTAAATGCCTAGGTCATTAAATGTTTAATAAATTGGGCACCACCCACTGCCACCTCGGGCAGTGGTGGTTGGCGGCGGTCCATGGCGGCAGGAGGCGGCAGCCACCATTTTTAATGGTGGGAGTTACAAATTTTTAGGTCCAAACACCATCTAAAACCTCACGGTTTACATGGAACGTTAATCCAACACCCACACACGCACACAACCACCCGAGGTGGCGGCTAGTGGTGGTAGAACGGCGCCATGGTGGGTTTCCTATTGTTTTCCGGCCAATAAATAGCCACACTATGACATACACTATAACACGCACACACACATGCGAAAACACACACAACATAGCCACCCTCATGGTGGCAGCCGGTGGTCGGAGATCGATTGGGCGACAGTCGCATGGCGGCAACGGAAGCGGTCAAACGACTGCGGTGTTTCAAAAGGGATGGAGAATAAAGAGGTTGCAACAACAACAACACACACACACACACATGAAACATGAACACCACACTACCACCCACTCACGGTGGCATGCGACAGTCGGATAAGGATGGTGGCAAACGGGACAACCACTGGAGCGGTGACGGCGACGGGAGAAAGGCAATAGCGGCCACAGTCATAATGTTCCGACCGCCCACTGATACGGCGTCCACGTATCGATCTTCGTCATTGCCGGCAATTGCAGCAACGATGCTTGCTTCGGTGGTTCACGACGGTGACAAGGGGGTGGCGGCGGCTGGAGGTGAGGGGTGATAAGGGTGGCGGCTGAACGTAGAGATTTAGGGTTAGGGTTTGCTTCAAGTGAGAGCCAAGCGAGGAGGGAGTGACGGGTTTAAGCCCAGTCTCCAACTTTAAACTTCATTCCATTTTTGACACTTCCAGTCCGTCCATCCCAAATCGTTTTCAAATTAAATCCCTAATTTACTCTATAGCCCCATGTTTCCAAAAATCATTTCAATTAAAGTCCATAAGTTACAATTTAACCCTCAATATCCAGAAAATATAACTTTTAACACTCCAAGGTGTACACTCCGCCAATTTAATACGAATTTAGGGCTAAAATAAAAAATATATAAAAATGCATCTCGGGGTTTTAGGGTTTATTATTTATTTATTTATTTGATTACTTATTATTTAATTATTTATTATTTATTTTAAAGGGGTTGTTACATATTTACATATCATATAAGTTTGATAAATATTTAAATTTTTTGATTTTTTGTAATTTCATGAAGATATGTTCTTTGAAAATTTACTTATCATGGTAATTACTTTTTCATTTTATTAATATCCGGGTAACTTTTTTTTTAAACATCTAGTTAACGAAATTGTTGGAAGTGTTCACATATGACCATTATGACCGATTGTAACTTGTTATAGCCGGTTATAATGATGATATGTGAACACTTCCAATAATTACAGTCGGTCATAATGGTCATATGTAAACAATTCCAATAATTTCGTTACCTAGATATATATAAAAATATAAAGTTATTTAGATGTGAACAAAACGAAACGGTTGTAACTTGCTACAGTCGATAATAATGGTCATATGTGAACACTTACAATAATTTCATTAACTAAACGTATAAAAAAATAAAGTTATCCAGATGTAAACAAAAGTAAAAATAATTATGAATGATAAAGTCAATTTCTTACTCTTTCTTTTTTGCCGTTCTAAAAAATTTACCTCAATTTTCCTTTGCAATTTTTGAAACGACCCCTGTTTTTCTTCCAGTCGCTCACCTTCTCTCTCCAGTGGAGTGTAGAATGCAGAGTGCAGACTCCTCCCTCTCGTCGTCACTTCTCTCAACTGCGGCCAACATCGACTGTAAAACCCTAGCCCCCTCCTCCTGCACAATGATCTGTTCAAGTAACCAATCTTCTTTTCGTCGTTTTTCTTCATACATATATATTACGCTTTTCTATCCGATCTACTTTACCTTTTACTGTCCATGTCACCCGTCCAGTCTCCGGCGAGGTTCCGGAAGTGCCTGTTGTTTCTAAGTCGTCTGGATTACTTTTCGAGAAGCTGTTGATCGAGAGACACATAATGGTGCGTTCGTTTTTCTTTCTAGGGTTTATGTTCTTGAATAAGGTGAACATGTTTGCATTTTGCTCAGTTCTTCACTAGCCTTAAGTAAAGAGAGAAGTCTACATTACTTAATAGTTATCCAATTACACCCTGCTCTTCAAAATGAATATATCGTAATTATAATTTATATGAATTCTACATTTTATATGTTAGTATATTATCAAAAACCTTCTGATTCTTGTTTGTATAACACTAGGAATGGTATGCTTTGGTGCTATCTGCATTTGCATCAGAGCAACAACTGCATACAACAAGCAGGAGCTCCTCCCTATGTTGATGGTGTAAGATTCAGTTGAAGGGTATATTTGTCTTTTTTCATGCTCATGATTAAGCTTGCCTAGTAATTGCAAGATTAAAGAAAGAATTAGATGTAGCCAGAACAATGTTAGCATGTTTAGAAAGGCAAGCATCAACATCAACAAAAATTACAGCTAATGCCTCTGCTGCAATCAATGGGAAAAGAGGTTTTTTTTTTTTTTTTCATGCTTTTAAGATTATAAAATTAGCATATTGGTTAGGTTATTATTGCTACTGGTGGAGTTGATACAAACGCGGCTGTTGAAATTTGGGTATATGAGACTTTGCATGGTATATGGATATAATTGTTAACTAACATTACATGCAAATCATAACTTTGAATTAAATAAATTACGTCATTGAAATGTAATACGTGCATGCTATATACATTTGTAGGAACAAATAATAAAAAAAGAAAAACTCTAACATGTCTAGTAGTCATTGAAGTATACAAGGATCTTTCTATGTCAAGTAGCATGTTCATGTGTCCATGTCATTGAAGAACCAATAACAAAGTTGATTGGAGCTGTGAATCTTCAACTAGGTTAACGAAATCGAGAGGAATGAGTAAAGCCCCACAACTGCAAGGTGAAGAAAAAATGATAAATAACATTTCCCACACTGTATTTGATCCATATTGGAATTGAAACTCATACACTTGCTCTTCAGACTTAAACCCTTAACTACTTATACTAACTAACTATATCATGTTATGCACAAGTTTAGAGTGTTACTTACCTCAACGTTCTTTAACTCAAACTCTTCATTATGAGCCAAACATCGATTACCAAATGTATCACAAGGTCCACTAGTTCCCGTTAACCTGAGTACACAAGGAGATAATAAGATGATATAACATATAATAATACTAATAATAATAATAATAATAAATATCATTTTTGTTGTTATCAAGTAGTAACACATAAAGCATCTTACAAATCTCCATCTAAGCGTAAGGCAAAACTTCCTCCGCCTCCAAACGCTAGCATGTCATTAGAACATATGTAAAAGTACCGGTTTGCACCTTTTCAAATAGAAAATGCAATTATTAGTTCATGAGTGTAATAATAAAGATTACTCAAATTCGGTAAACCTTGGTAGGATTACCAAATGTTATAACAAACACGGGGTATGTCTAGACTGGACATGATACATCAAACTTTCTAGGACTATTATTGACAACAAGAATGAGGGTATTTACGTCTTTTCCTATATAACAAATATGGCTTACCAGTTGGTCTAAACAAAGTTGGTGCACCATATAATGTTGTGAAAACAAAGGTCTGAACTGTTCCCTGCCATAACAATTCAAAAGTGTAGAGTGTTAAAACCCATTAATTAACACTAGAAAATGTATGATATAGCATCACGTGGATACCGGAGTGTAGAAGTTAACTTATTTATAGTTGAAAGTTTGTTTCATTTCTTTTCTCCATTAAGTGTTGTATTGATAAAGTGGGTAGTGACTTCTGTCTGAATAATGTGTATAAATGAGACTAAATGTCCTTACATTAAAAAAAAATCACAATATTCGTCAATTTTTAAGTGAGGGGTTGGTAGAAAAAAAGAAGAGAATATAGATAAAACATTAGTGTCTTAATATATTAAACCAAGTTATTTATTTATTTATTTTGGCTTAAGCCAGTTAGGTCATTCTCTCTGATTAAATAAAAAAAACAAGCATGACTGTCCGGTTTAAGTGTTTAACCCGCCAATTATGTCAAAGAAACAACTCATCAGCAAACTAAAGTGTTTCCTTTTTCGACTTGATGGACTTGATGACATAATCTAATAAGTTATATATGAGTGTTTCTTTTTGACATAATGCAACAAATAAGTTGAGAAATCGAGTACTTTATCCATAACACTTTGGGAAAAAAGAAACCAGGGACTTACTTGATATTTCCTTTGGGGAGTAGGTGTTAACGGGCAATTTATTAGCCCCCCAAACACAGCACCTTTATTGTCTCCCGTAATCTACGTAAAAAATTCAATATGTCACATATATTGAAATTAAACCGATTTTTTTCTTAAGTGATCAAATCTTACCAGCAAACAAGGCCCAGAAACTTCAAATGTGTTCCGAATAAGTGTTCGAAGTGATATGCCATGTTTCAAGGTACTGCCCTTCATTTCAAAGAAAAGATACGTCAACAACCCAATTTAGAGTAAGGCTGCATTTGTCGCAACGAAACTGACTAGATTGGACTGAACTGAACTTGACTGTTTTATATTGGAATGTTTTATTTCAAACAAATTTTATAGGGTTGTTTTCAATGATAAAATAATGACATTACTCTCATTTTTATCCACTACAACATATTTTGTGATATAATGTCTAACATTTGTATATGATAACCATAAGGAGATATTATTACCTATAAATTAAAACCCATTTGCAACCTTTTACTATATTGGGAAGGCAAGATTGAAAAAATTGGCTCAAATTGGATGAAATAAAAACGGAATCCAGATTTAGGTCATGAACATGCTTCTTTGGGGTCTTTAGATCAATGGCATCTTCAAACACTTCATTACTGCTGGTGCTCTTCCCTGACCCTAGGTCTGGATTCTCGTCTTTTGTATCTGAATTCTTACATTTTATAATCTTTAGGCTGCCTGCTTCGTAATCATTCTCTTCTTTCGAAATTGACTCTTGCGAGGGAAACAAGAAAGAAAGTATTGATGACAAATAGCTTTCATCTTTAAGAGGTAAACTGGTCTGCAAATAAGGAAGAACGCCATGGTCAAAGCTTCAAGCTTTAGTCAAAATTGCACAAATTATCAAGAATTCAACGAATAATCGATTCATATTGGATAAATGGAATTAAATACTTTCATATCTTTATGCCTAGATCGTAAAAAACCAAATTTCACGATGATAGCAAACCAATTTGAAGAAAAACTGGAAAGCGATCAAAGAGAGAGATATAGAAGAGGTACCTGATCGTGATCAGAAGACGTTGGAGAAGAAGAAGAAGAAGAAGATGGTTCGTAAAAAAAATTGGTTATCTTTTCTGTAAATTTATCTTTCCATGAATTCATTGTGAGAGAGGAGAAGAAAAACGAATTGATTTTGGAACCCTAAAATGCAGAGCGAATGAACGTGATGGTTGAGGTTAACACGATAAGAAGAGACGATGGACAACATTCACGTCTATACAAAGTCACGAATATTACAAAATTTTATCTTCGAATGTCTTGAAATAGAAAACACATCGCTTTTTAGTTTTCTTAAAATAGAATTTTCATATGGGTGCCCTCTATCTCCGGTTACATGATTGTTAAATTGATTATCTGTAAAACCCATTTCCGATTTTATTTTCTTTGCCGATGAACTCCGGCGGCGGAGTAAGCGGTTTCATTGCAACTTCTTTTCGCCACCATTTTTCTCATCACCTCCGTCGTCATTTCTCTTCTCTGAACTTCCTTTCTTGCTACTTTACGACCACAGCAACAGACTTTAGTCGATTACCGACCACCCATCTTGCAGAACTACAAGGAGGAACAATCAACAATGAGATCATAATCGAACACTTGAAAATCTGCTCAAACTTGAGACAACTAGAATCTATTTACGCGTTCATGGTCAAGAACAGCTACAATCAAGATTGTTTCATGATAAATCAGTTCGTCTCAGCCTGTTCGACCTTTTCTCAATCAGATTACGCAATCCAAGCCTATACCCAGATGGAGGATCCCAATGTATTTGTGTATAACGCTGTTATCCGAGCTTGTGTGTCTTGTTTTGTCCCAATTCAATCTCTTCAAATTTATCTACAAATGTTGAGAGCTCAAATTTCTCCCACTAGCTATACATTTCCTTCCGTCATCAAATCCTGTGCTTTAATCCAACAATACAGAATCGGGGAAGCTGTTAACGGACAGATATGGAAGTTCGGGTTCAAATCACATGTGTACGTCCAGACAGCATTGATCGATTTCTATTCATGTTTTGGAAAGATCTTGGAATCCCACCAGGTATTCGATGAAATGGTTGAACGAGACACTTTCGTCTGGACATCCATGATTTCAGTACATTCAAGATCAGGAGACATGGTTTCCGCTCATAAACTGTTCGATGAAATGCCTGAAAGAACTTCTGCTTCTTGGAACTCTTTAATCGATGGATACTCTAGAATAAAAGACATCAAATCCGCAGAGTTTTTATTCAACAACATGCCATTAAAAGACTTAATCTCATGGACCACTATGATAAATTCCTACTCCCAAAACAAACTCTACCAAGAATCATTATCAACCTTCATCAACATGACAAAACATGGTATCACCCCTGATGAAGTCACCATGGCAACTGTAATCTCAGCCTGTGCTCACCTTGGAACACTTGATATCGGAAAGAAAATCCATCTTTATATTGCAAAAAACCGTTTTAATCTTGATGTTTACATCGGGTCTTCTTTGATTGACATGTATGCAAAATGTGGCAACTTAGATCAATCACTCTTGGTGTTCTATAAATTACCCGAAAAGAATCTTTTTTGTTGGAACTCAATAATCGAAGGGCTTGCATCACATGGGTACGCGAAAGAATCGTTAAAAATGTTTAGTCAAATGAAAAAAGAGAATATAAAACCAAATGGGATTACTTTTATAAGTGTTCTTAGTGCTTGTACTCATGGAGGATTAGTCAAAGAGGGGTGGAAATGTTTTCAAAGCATGAGTCAAGATTTTCTAATTCCTCCCGGAATTGAACATTACGGGTGTATGGTTGATTTGTTATGCAAGGCTGGAATGTTGGAAGATGCAATGGAATTGATAAAGGAGATGGGAATGGAACCGAATGGTGTGATTTGGGGTGCGGTTTTGGGAGGGTGTAAGATTCAGAAGAACTTGGAATTGGCGCGGGTTGCTGTTGAAAAGTTGATGGTTTTAGAACCGGATAATAGTGGGTATTATAGTCTTTTTGTTAATATGTTGGCTGAAGAAAATAGGTGGAGTGAGGTGGCTAGAATTAGGTCAAGTATGAAAGAGCTTAGGGTGGAAAAGAAGATTCCGGGGTCGAGTTGGATTGAGATTGAGGGGAAGTTACATCAGTTTTCGGCTTCTGATAAGTATCATGAATGTTCTAAGGAGATTTACTTGTTGCTTGATAGAGTATGTGGGAAACAAGTACTTGATGCATGTGTACATGAGTATCCCTCTTTTCTTTGATATAATTCAATAATTCATAGGAAATCTATAGAAAGTTTTTATATTTTAATTTTATAATCGATTTAGTCATTATATTTTTTTTATTCAATTTAATCCTAAAAATTGACAATTGTTTGCATTTTAACCTTTTCAAAAGTTAAGTTAGTCCAATATGAAATATACACTCGAGTACTTTTTGACAAATGTAATCAAAAGTTAAGTTAGTCCAATACGAAATATACACTTAGTTATTCCAATACAAAATATTAGATAAAAGTTAGTCCAAACCCCTAAACTTTGATCAAATTTGTGAAAAAACACTTATATTCGGTTGGTGACTAGTTTATTGGGCTAAAATCCCAAAATTATCGGTTTATCATGGTAAAAAAAACTCATGTTGCCGGTTTTTGGGGATTAATTGTAAACAATTGTCGGTGTTTAGGGCTCAATAGCAAGAAAACAAAAATATAAGGAATCGATTATAATGTCAAAATAGAAGAATTTTACTAAAGTTTTCCCGGTTGAAATATAAGGATTTTTTTTATAAATATTTTTAATTTATTAATATTATCTTATTATCCTAGTATATTTTTTCAATCTACCATATTGTATTATCTTACATTAATTGTATGATATTTTCTTTGTCCGACATATAATATCTATTATGGACAGCTTTTTTTCTTCTAAAATAACCGTTTTTATAATCTTTATGTATAACTGACTGTATTATCTTACATTACTCTTATGATATATTTTTCTTCTATATAGGATTGTTTTTCCGCTATATAAACCGTGATCGTAAGATCTTATATAGGTTGTCAACAACGTAAGATCTTATCAAAAGCATTTTAGAATTAAAAAAAGAAATTGTTTTAGATGAATACACATACATCAAAAAGTTTCATAATATTTACCATGTATTTTTATTCAATTCAAGAGAAATTTAAATAGATGTGAAACGGTCACCAAAGTTTGTTATGCACTGTGCTTCATTTCAAAGTGTTTTATTCAAATTAACTGGTTTAACAGGTTTTTTGAAAAACCGGCCGATTCGTTTCGGTCCAGAAAAAAGCATAAAACTGGTGCTAGTTGAACCATTACCTTCCTTGGTTCTCGGTTCAAACCAGCTTTTAAAAAATTGGATACATATGGATCCTTTTACCTATGCGACCATACGATCATTGATCGGGATCATGATTTTAATAACCTTTATATCCTTTGTTTGACAAATGTTATTTTTCTAATGATAATGTAACATTCCAAAACTCGCAATAAAACTTTTCACTTTTAATTAAAGAGAAAGCATTGTTTTTTAATCATCCAAAATCATAAGAAACCAAGATTAAACAAAAATGATCCAAAATCAATGTATGTTAACATCTCCAAAAAAATATCACTGGGGTATGTGTACGATCACGCTTTTGCTTTTTCTCGATCATCTAAAGTACTTGAAACATAAAACATAAGCTGTAAGCCAAAGCTTAGCAATTTCTCCATAATACCACCACATGAACATATAACATCATGCATACTGGGTTCCCAAACATCGGGATGGATTACCCCTGGGCCCACAATATGAGTCTGGATTGCCTTCTTGGCCCACAATTCATGTTTGGATTGCTCCCGTGCCCACAACATAAGTCTGACTTGCCTTTTTGGCCCACAACTTATGTATGACATGCTCTTAGATTTGTTAGCTTCCGCACAAAGCAGTATTGCCTCAACCCAACCGCACTATGTCGACACATACAACAAATAAACATATAACCAACAAACAGATAATCATGCAGATTGTAACATCCCAATTTTCAAGGGTAAAAATTTCATTTTTAATTGAGTAAAGTCATTCATCAAACATTGCTAATATTATATTAATTCATAAAACCATTACGTCGTGTCTCAGAAACATATCATCGGATAATAATAATAATAATAATAATAATAATAATAATAATAATAATAATAATAATAATAATAAATAATCAGAGTACAATCCCATAAACTCAAGGTGGATATCATGCATGAGTGTGATGTGCTGCTACCGCGCCGACTCCTTCCCCTTCGCTGAAGTGGTACCTGAAACAAAACTGTAAACTGTAAGCACGAAGCTTAGTGAGTTCCCCCATCATACCACATACCACACAATAACATGTCTAGCCAAGCATATCTGGGTGTTGGCCTCCCCTTCGATCTATTTCAACCGGATAGTTGCCTAGCATATATGGGTGTTGGCCTCCCCTTCGGTCTATTTCAACTGGATATCGGGGACTATTTCACCCCTACCACTACCACATAAAATCATAACATACTGGCACATATAACATAACAGATAGTGGCATACCAAATAATTATCACACAGACAATTTTTTGGTTACAAACTCCTACTAGTGGGCCGACATTGTAGCCTTAGACCCACTTCCAATGAAAGGTAACTCACCTCGCCAAGCTGAGTGTCGAATCTCACAGGAAGTAACCTCTAAATGCTTCTCCGATGACTCCTGGCTATCCTAATCATAATAATACTTAGTCAGCATCTGGAATGCCACTTAGGGTAAAATGTCCATTTTACCCCTTGGTCCGATTGGAACATTCATAAGTCCCAATTCCAGTTTATTGAGCCCAGCCCTTCTATGGCCCATCAAGGACTCCCTAAGGGTCCACTACTAGCCTAATTTCTAAATCGGGCCTTAAACCCCGAATGGGCCCAAAAGGTTCCGAGTCCTAATATAGTAATTCCAACGGGTCCAATCATGGTGCACAAGGCCCAATACTCTAATTCCAGATTCTCAAGTCCAAACTTATACTTCACAGTGGGCCACGTGGCCCCAAAGTCCAGGCCCATTCTCTTTCGGCCCAAAAGCCCAAAACATCCATTCTGCATGCGTACGCGCGGCGTACTTGGCACCTACGCCCAGCGTACGCTGGCCTTGACCACAACGAGGAGTTGACCCAGTACGAGCGGCGTACTAGGGAGTACGCCCAGCGGACTGGCCAGCTTCTTTGGGACTTCACTCATGACTTAATCCATTGAGTCTTACCGTCCAAAATGCAGATCCAGGTCCTTTAAGACCTCTTAGACCATAAAGTCATGAACTTTATGTGCTTGCATGCAAGGTTGGGGTCAAAACTTGATTTTGGTCCTTTTAACAAACTTTAAGACCCAAAAACACTTACATGGTTGTGGCTTAACCATCAAGGTCCGATTTTTATGACTCTTAGTGCCTCCAAGAGCCCAAAAGGACAGCTATTATGCTCTGGAACCAACAATACTCAATTATCCCCAACAATGGGGTCAAGAAGGACATAAAACCCCTAAATAAACAAATCTAAGCATAGAATGGTCATGTATGGAGCTTGATACCTCGAAGGAGTCAGAAATGGTGTCAATCCTCTAGATCTACAAGCTCTTGGTGGATCCTTGCTTCTTCTTCAAGCTCCTTTCTTCTTTTCTCACTAAAACATCACCAAAAGCACTCTCAAATGGATTCTAGAACACAAAGGCACACAAAGGGAGCTAGGGTTTTCGTGGTGGCTGGGTAAGAGTGAAGGGAAGCTAAACAAACAGGAGTTTTGTTCTTCATATAGGGAGTAAACCCTACATTTTAGGGTTTAATGAGCTGCATGCGTACGCTGGGCGTACGCGCCTGGCCTCCGCGGTTCATTCTCACGAGTACGCTGGGTGTACATGGCTGTGTACGCCCCGCGTACGTCACTTCCTCAGTCCACTAATAAGGCCCAAAGGTCAAAGCCCAAACCAAACCATTCCATTCTTCAATTCTAAAATGTTTAATAATACCTGGAAAATCCCGGATGCTACACTGATCTAAAAGATCACTACAGCATATCAACATCATATATGCTAGGATACATAATCTAGTGGGTTGGCATTGGTGCCATCGACCCACAAGTACAGTGACGAAAACTCATCTCAAAGTCTGAACTGATAACTGAACAAATCATTGCTCCGAATATTGCATCTATTGATCACATATACAATAACAGGGACTCAAACTTCAATCTACTACTCATAATAGCCAAAATGATCTAAACTTAAAATTGGTCAAAGTCAACGGTTAACGGTCAACGTTAAAGTTAACTTCAGCTAGTCGCCATGTCGTGGCCATCCTTGGCCACACTGTGGCCACCAAATGACAAAGTAGGTGAGGCTTAGCCCAGTCGCCACGTTGTGGCAGCCTAGGCCATGCTGTGGGTACTTGGCTCCCAATAGCTTAATAGATTAAGTCATTTTTCATTGATCCAAAGGCTCCAAAGCTCAGATCTGATCCTTTCTAAGGTCCAAGTGGATAAAGTTTCCAACTTTAACCCTTTAGACCCTCCCAGAGATAGAGATCTCCATTCTAGGTCTAAATAGGGCAAAAACATAACTTAGCTTAATCGATTAAGCACTTTTTCTTGAAGACTTCTAGATCCCCATTTCCAGAAACATTTCTAGCATCCTATAACAACATAAAAATCCTTACTTTCCAAACATAGATGTCCAATACATGTCTTTGACCCTTATTAGGTCAAAATGAGGGTTTTTGACCCAAAGATCCATGCATGGCATCAAAACTCACTAATACTTCAAATTCAAAGCACCATAAGCCCTAAATGGCATGGAGATTCATAAAGTTACAAAATGTATGAGATCTCACCACCCAATAATCAAGAACATGAAGATTAACAGACAAAATAGCTAGATCTAGTCATATAAAGCATAAAGATTTGATTTTGAGGACTTACACGAGTCTAGGAATGTGCTCAAGGTAGATGGGAAGAGTTGATACCTGTAACTTAGCTCCCTTCTTCTACTTCTTCTTTAATGGCTTTAAAGGAATACCCAAAACATGGTTCAAACAAAGGAGGAAAGGATTAGCGTTTTCAAAATCTCAAAGGGGCTGATGGAGGCTGAGGGTAAGAAAACCCTAGCCTCCTCATTCCTTTAAATAGGGAGCGAAAACGAAAATAAGGTTTTTCCATATGCCAGCTCCCACGCCGTGGCCATATACTGCCACGTCGTG